AATAAATACAAATAAATACAAATAAATACAAATAAATACAAATAAATACAAATAAATACAAATAAATACAAATAAATACAAATAAAATACAAATAAATACAAATAAATACAAATAAATACAAATAAATACAAATAAATACAAATAAATACAAATAAATACAAATAAATACAAATAAATACAAATAAATACAAATAAATACAAATAAATACAAATAAATACAAATAAATACAAATAAATACAAATAATAAAATACAAATAAATACAAATAAATACAAATAAATACAAATAAATACAAATAAATACAAATAAATACAAATAAATACAAATAAATACAAATAAATACAAATAAATACAAATAAATACAAATAAATACAAATAAATACAAATAAAATACAAATAAATACAAATAAATACAAAATAAATACAAATAAATACAAATAAATACAAATAAATACAAATAAATACAAATAAATACAAATAAATACAAATAAATACAAATAAATACAAATAAATACAAATAAATACAAATAAATACAAATAAATACAAATAAATACAAATAAATACAAATAAATACAAATAAATACAAATAAATACAAATAAATACAAAATAAATACAAATAAATACAAATAAATACAAATAAATACAAATAAATACAAATAAATACAAATAAATACAAATAAATACAAATAAATACAAATAAATACAAATAAATACAAATAAATACAAATAAATACAAATAAATACAAATAAATACAAATAAATACAAATAAATACAAATAAATACAAATAAATACAAATAAATACAAATAAATACAAATAAAATACAAATAAATACAAATAAATACAAATAAATACAAATAAATACAAATAAATACAAATAAATACAAATAAATACAAATAAATACAAATAAATACAAATAAATACAAATAAATACAAATAAATACAAATAAATACAAATAAATACAAATAAATACAAATAAATACAAATAAATACAAATAAATACAAATAAATACAAATAATACAAATAAATACAAATAAATACAAATAAATACAAATAAATACAAATAAATACAAATAAATACAAATAAATACAAATAAATACAAATAAATACAAATAAATACAAATAAATACAAATAAATACAAATAAATACAAATAAATACAAATAAATACAAATAAATACAAAAATAAAATACAAATAAATACAAATAAATACAAATAAATACAAATAAATACAAATAAATACAAATAAATACAAATAAATACAAATAAATACAAATAAATACAAATAAATACAAATAAATACAAATAAATACAAATAAATACAAATAAATACAAATAAATACAAATAAATACAAATAAATAAAATAAATACAAATAAATACAAATAAATAAATACAAATAAATACAAATAAATAAATACAAATAAATAAATAAATACAAATAAATAAATACAAATAAATAAATACAAATAAATACAAATAAATAAATACAAATAAATACAAATAATTTTTATTTATTTTTGTTTTTTTAATTTTTTTTCTATTTTTATTTATTTCATTTATTTTCTTTTACAGTTATCTTTTCATTTATTTTTGTTTAATTTTATTTATTTTTTTATTATTAAGAATTTACCTAATTTTATTTAATTTTTTTAACTATTTGTTATTAATTTTACTTATTTAAATTTTTTATTTTATTTATTTTTTGTTATTTTTTATTTTTAATAATTTACCTAATTAAATTTAATTTTTTTAACTATTTGTTATTTTTATTTATTTAAATTTTTTGTTTATTTTTATTTATTTAAATTCTTTGTTTATTTTAATTTTTTTCATTTATTTTTATTTATTTTTATTCGTTTTTATTTATTTTTATTTATTTATTTTTTATGTTTTTAGTTTTTTAGTTTTTTAGTTTTAATTATTTTTATTTATATTTATTTGTTTATTTTTAATTATTTTTTATTTTTTTATTATTGATTTTTATTTATTTTTATTTGTTTATTTTTACTTATTTTTTTCTATTTATTTTTATTTATTTATTTTTATTTATTTTTATTTATTTTTATTTATTTTTATTTATTTTTATTTATTTTTATTTATTTTTATTTATTTTTATTTATTTTTATTTATTTTTATTTATTTTTATTTATATTTATTTTTATTTATATTTATTTCTTATTTATTTAATGGAACTTCAAGCGGAGAACAGACTGTCGCGATGTCGTTTTTATTAGTTCAGTCCTCATATTTTTCATGTTAATAAGTTAAAATTATCATAACTTAAAAAAAAATTGTTTTAAAGAAATTTATAATTTTCTTAGTAATCAATAAAAAGAAACTACAAAATCATTGAATTGTCAGCTCGCTATGATTTTTCAGTCATAAATATCTCCTCTTAATTTCTATCCACTCTAACTCTGTCAGTTTTAATAATAGCAAAAACTGTCAAATATCATTTTTATGTAAAATTTAATGCTTTACAATTCTTATAAAGAACTTTTTGTTATAGCACCTACCGTTTTTAAAAACCTTAAAAACCACTTTATTTTCTTGTTTTTTGACATTTGCCGGTGCCTGAAAAATAAAATTATTTTACATATCGTTTTCAAATACTCTAAAGTGACTTATATCAAAAATTCCTGTATTTCCTCCAAAATTTTGATCTAAAGGTCTATTTGATTGAACTACGGGTCCCAGTAATCAAGTTATTCGGAGCGAATAACTAGAGAGGAGGGAGCAATGTTACGCAGCACTCTGTAGTGCTGCGGTCGTCATAAGTAAAGGTACGAGTAAATAAAGAAGATAGAATATTCCCGAAATGTCTTGAAATGTCTTTCCTTGTCAAAGAAAAGTCCAGATTGTTCGAGAAGGTTTTAGAAGGTCGAGGCAAGCTATATAAATTGTGATACCAAAAACCAGTGTAACAATACATACATTAATTTTATAAAAATTCAAAAATGGACCAACATATCTTTGTAACGACTCTGTTAATAGGGCCAAGTCTTTTCACCTCTGAGTAAAGTTGAAAGTTACTACTTGCTGATTAAACTATAGGAATATTGTATGTTAATCTGTCAAGTAAACCTACATGTAATTTTACTCAGAGGTTAAAAGATCGACCCTTAACAGGTATTTTAAAGTTTATATTTAATAGCCCTATGAAAGAATATATAAATGTTTCTATAAAATAAACATTTTGTTAATTCAGCACTAAATTCATATTAAAATTTACTATACGAATAATCACCGAACAATAAATAATAATAACCCTGCATAAATATATATTGTAATTTTTTTGTCAGTTATTTTTACATAAATAATATGCTCCATGTCCGATACACAAGCCTTTTGTTTTATCGTTTTAGAATTACTTTTTCTAAGCATATGACAAACGGCTTGCGTGAGAAAATGGTGGAAATTTCTAGATTTTCTTGTCAGCTTTTTGTTAAATAAATTATAAAGATATAAATAATATGATGGCCATGTCCGACACTCAAGCCTTTTGTTATATAGTCTTAGAATCGCTTTTTTCTAAGCATATGTCAAACGGCTTGTGTGGGAAAATTGTGGCAATTTGCATATGTTTTGCCAGCAACTTTCCTATGTTCTGAAAATATGAAGAAGACCACGCTCTGTACTTAAGCCATTATTTTTTTAGGGCTCTTAAATTCATAAGTTTTTATTTCAAAAAATTTCGTTTATGGGAAAAGAACTGAAAAATTAAAAGAAATTTCTGTTAAATTTTCCAACTTCAAAATGGACTTATCCACTCGCGTTACTCAAGCCAATATGTATTTCGGGCTAGTTACGACATATGTTTTCATACTCTCGATTGGCTTGTGTGGAAAAATCGGGTAAAATATCGATTTTTCTTTACAAGATTACGCCCTTATTTCAACCCTTTAGCCACTTGCAACATTAAAGCCTTTGGTTTTTCGAAGCCTAGTTCTATTAATTAATCATATAGTGAAAACGGCTTGCGTGGAAAAATGAGCAAAAAACACCTTTTATTTCTGTTAAGGAAAATCGAATTTTGCATATGTTATCCCCTTGGGCCACTTATAAATTGTCTTTCATTCTACTCAAAATCGAGGCTTGTATGCGAAAATGGGGCACCTAAATCAGTCACTATCTGACGGTCTAATATATCATCTTTTTTAAATCAAGCCTTTTAATTTTTTTAGTATAGATATGTATATATTTTTATTTTGTTAGTTTATTATTTATGCAAAGGTAAACAAAAATTATTTTATTGTAATTACATTTGGCTTGGAAATATTTTTATTTATGCTATAATGTAACAAATATATCATCGTATTGGTGGTGAAAAGAGCTAAGCCACACACTTATTAATTGGAGAAAATGGGTAAATAAGTTTGTAACTCTTAGGTTAAAACAACTTTTGATTTAAATCTTAAGTTTTTATTCACTAAATATGATAACATTTGGTACATGTACATGTCCTTCATTTTAAGACCGATTTATAAAAAAAAAGAAAGGTATGTCGCTTAAAAATATTTTGCCACTGAAAAAGATATATGTATTTTTACCTAGCTCCTTTCAGTTTGTGGGATTTTAAGGTTATAATTACATAATCGCTTATCTCTCATCTTATCTCTTAATGTTATTATATTCCCTTAAAGCAACATCGCCGAAAGGCTTGGCGACGTTATGTGCTAGCTGGGTATCTTCTAATTCTAGTCGACGACCGGCTGTTGCCCTGTTGCCATTTTATTAACTTATATACTGGTCGTATGCCTAACACGAAAAAATCAGTGCTATAAGTATATTACAATGAAATGAATACACAACTTGCATCAAGAATTGCATACCTACTCGACAATATATCATATACCGAATGATATTTGAACATTTAAAGTACTGATAAAATGATAACTTGTAATAATATAATTATAAACAAGAGTACACACTATCAAAAGGCACCTTAATACCATTTTTTGCGCATTGAATAATAACTAAATATATTTTACCTCTGTCCTTCGGATTGGTCCTGTTTAGATTCATCAGTAGAAATACTTTTCTGTTTTTCTTTCTCTGATTTACTCGTTTTTCTTTTTATTGCGGGTTCCGTAAAGGATTTGCTAATGAGAGGTGCGTAAATCTGAAATTTAAAAACAATATATATATATATAGAAAGTTACCACGGACCCTCTGCTTTACAGTGAATTAGACAAGGTCATGGGTGCCGCCACACGAGGGAAAGCGGGGGCCTCTGTCCCCCTGGATTTGTGATTTTTTATTTATCGTCGTGGCTTTCGACTATAGCCTGCGCCGTTTTGACTCTGCCTATAATATTGCTTGTCACCCTGGAAATTTTTTTGGACGGCGCCCATGGAAAAAGTATAATATGACCACGCGTAATCGAACAAAGACAACTGAGCAACGCATTACCTATTCTGTGGCCTTGCACACGGTACATGCTTCCTATTCTACATGCTTCCTATTCATTGCCACTTACATTGATTTGGCTTATATGGTCCGCGTTTTAATTTTCAAATGTGTATATTTCATTCATGGTCTATATTGTGATCTATTAATTAATAAATGTATTATAAAATCATCAGTCATAACCATTATTACTAATAAATTTCTCAAGTTAGCGCATATTGCGGTTTTTATTTCTCTGGATTTGTAGGTAGGAGCAACCCAATTAGAAAAGATCCCATTACCTTTCTGATGTTATCGATCGCCTTATGCCGCGTTTGAGAATCCACATCGGATGCATTTTTTACATCTCGACCGTTTTTTTATCCACATCGGACACATCTACATCTGCGTTTGTTTATCCCAGATGTACCTGTTCAGATTACATTTTTTACATCTCGATTTGAAATGAGATGTGAATGAGATGTTCGTTCCATGCCAGAAAGTAAGTGTTCTGTGAAGCCTTGTTTGTCAATTTATCCTTTGTTTATGCTAGCATGAATATAAAAGTGATTAGTTTGTTTAATTTTTGTTTATATTTCAAATTTAGGTTGATTTGTGGTCTCAAAAGTCAAATTTAATAAGTAAACTTCTAACTTGTCATTGACATTTTATCACGTGACCAAATAAAGTCTAGAGCGTTTGTTTATTACATCTACATTCAGATCTAATTCTCTATCACGTGATAAAAAATTCACAACATCTCAGATGCATCCGATGTGGATTCTCAAACGCGGCATTTGTAACTTCTTGAACAATGTCAGTAGCGCCGCCCTATTAGCTTTTTGTGATTACTAATAGTATCAACAACTAATCGTACACGCCACTGGTTTTAAATCTAGCTGGTTTTAAACGAAGTGTGACGTAATGGTATTTTCTCTATTCGGTTTCGCCCTACTATATAATTCAAATAGACCGGTATATTTTTAGTTCGCTTTGATACGTGATGTGAAGTGATTAAATTTAGGGCATAGTCGAAACATCCGGGGAGGTACTTTATAGGGGGTCGTTTTTCTATTTTATAGAATATTTAGGCTTGGAGAAGAAAGTCATTTTTGTCTACCACACGTAGTAAGGAGCATGTCTCCCTCACTTTCACTCAGCAACTGTCTAAAGGTGGCATCCCACGGCGTGTGTATCGGCGATCCTGGCTCGTGGTTTGAGTTCGTCTAGGCTCGCCTAGGCTTGGCTCGTTAATCTGGGCTTGGCAAGTGGATGCGATTCCACGACGCGTGAAAGGTCGTGAAGAATGCTCGTGTTGGTTTGGCAAATTTATTTTTTAGTCGTGCCAGTGGTGTTGCAACATGAACATGAATAATCGACGAAGACGAAATGCAGCTTGTGTTGCGGCCGCTTATTACATCATGTTGGGTAATTTTTTGAACCAGCAACAACGGCAAAAAAAAGGCGTTGGTGGAGAGTGTCTTTGTATAAAAGCCGCAATATGTAAGTACTTTTATAGGTTGCCCCTTTAAATTCAATACAATTTGATATAGCATACTGGGGGAGGGGGGTGAAAACTAGTCCTTTTATTTTTTTGTATCTGTCATTCTTCTGTATGTAAAAAAACGAAGAATTTTTAGAATTTTACGTATGCAAAATTTAAACAGTTCTTATTAACTTGTAGTTACAAATTACCTATTTGGTTGGTATGTTTTTAAAAGTTAAACGGTTTTATTGAAAATAAAGATAATCTGGCTGTAGATTGTACTAAATCACTTTATATTGATATTATAGCGATTGACTTATTTATTGTCTATGTATCTTTTTAATTTTTTTTATTATTTTAACTTGCAATGTATGTACAGGGTGTAATTTAATTGATGGCTGAAAATGCAGGATATAATTCCTTAGCTCATTTTAGGAAGAAAAGTTCATATGAACATAATATGTCCTAAACCTCTTAACTTTTGAGCTACAGGTTGTTAAAGTTTTAAGAAAAAAATCGTTTTTTACATTGCAGTAGGCTGGTGCCCTATTAAACCTTTAACACCCTGTAGCTTAAAAGTTAAGAGGTTTAAGACATATGTTCATATGAACTTTTCTTCCTAAAATTAGCTAAGGAATCATATTGTATTTTTATACACGATCGTTCTCTTTAAGACCTAGATACATAAATAACTATTATTTTTAGATACAGTGCCTCAAATATGTTATTGGATCTACGTCAAGAACCATATAGCTATTTCGAAAATTTTTGTAGGATGTCAGCCACTGATTTTGAATTTTTGCTAAATAAACTGGGCCCAATTATAGCTAAAAGAAATACAAATATAAGGCAAAGCATACCTGTCCAGGAAAGATTTGCAGTAACGTTAAGGTTTTTAGCCACAGGAGACAGTTTTAAAAGCCTCTCGTACCTTTTTAAATTTTCCCCTCAAACTGTTTCCCGGTGTGTACAAGATGTCTGCAGAGCACTTATTGATACATTAGAGGATGAAATTAAGGTAGGTACACAGTTTTTAAATGCAAAATATTTTAATAAAAACAGATTTACAAAGTAACTTCTTAAAATTTACATATGTTTTCAAACGTCGGATTGTAATTGTTTTCGTCATATTCGCTTGAAGGTAATCGGTGTGATAACTCTGAATCACTCGAGGTAGCTGGTGGCTGATAATGTGGTGATACCGGTGATGTCAACGGCGATGGCGTTAATGATGATGCATTTGGTTGAGAATGGGAATTGAATGGGGGCTGATATCATAACAGCGATGGCGTGAATGATGCATTTGTTTGTGAATGGGAATTGGATGGTGGCTGATAATAAAAACATGGCAGGTTTTGATTAGCTGATGAACTCTGCTGAAAAGAATAATTTCGTTGGGGATAAGCGTGGCTCGGATCCCTACCGTGTTTAATAAAAAACATTAAATGATCTATTTGGAGTTTCCCTTGTAAGTTCATCCAAAGCTCTTAGTTTTTTGCCAAAATTTCGGCATATAAATCACCATCATCAGAATCTGAGTCCACTTCAGAAAACTTTTTAAAAACTTTGTAGGCATCATCTATGCACTGCTTTGTGGTATGAGCTGAAATGTTTGTATGTTGCCTTTTTCTACGTTTCATTGGGCCTTTTGGAGGCTTTAACTCGCTCCATTTAGTTTGCTGTTTGGTTCCAGATGGTCCAGCAGAAGGTTCTTGAATATCCTGATGTGTGTTCTCGGAGGGTTCGCTTTCCTTTAACATACTTTCACTATCAACATTGTTTACTTGCTCAGAAACCTGAAAATAAAAACTTCATAAATAAAAGTGAAAACGAGCTACGTAAAGCCGGTATACCGTGTTTGATATTCAGTATTTTACGACCCATTCACCTTATATTGTTAAAATTCACTAAAACATTTTGTGGAATATGTAATAATCTTTGAGATGTCATTTGTCAATTACAGTAGTATTAAAAAATGCATTGTTTTTAATTTACAGGGTGTTAAAGTTATTTTTTAAAAATGATTGAAGTGAATGAAAAAATATCTCAAAAAACGGTAAATTTTTCGTCATAAACAATATACCTTTTTTAAAGAAAACTGTTTGGGCATTCTAAAAATGCATAAAAAAGTGTATGATATGCAGAATGTTCAAAAAAGTTGTGATCAATTAAACCAATTTTTAGCTACAAGTGGTGGCCAAAAATTTTTTAATTTTCTTTGTATGGCCTAAGTTAAGTCAGACTTAAATTTATGCCAAATATTACATTTTTTGGATTTGTGATTTCGAAAGTATGTATTGTCAAAAATCAATTAAAAAAAAATATCTTTAACACCCTGTAAATTTAATACGGTGCATTTTTCAATATTACTAAAATGAAGTTTTTTCCTATTTTGAACTATTTTTTTTTTATTTTTTGTTTTTCAATTTTTTAATTTTGACCAATTTTTTTTTTTTTTGTTGCCTCAAGCATGCATTAGATGGTGTAAAATATCAGAAGAATTTAAAGAAAAATGGCAATTTCCAAACTGTCTTGAGGCACTAGACGGGAAGCATATAGTCATTCAGTCACCTAATAATAGTGGAACGGAATTTTATAATTACAAGGGAACTTTTAGTGTAGTGTTGATGGCTTTAGTGAATGCAAACTATGAATTTACTTATGTCAATATTGGATGTCAAGGTCGAATTAGTGACGGAGGTGTTTTTCGAGACACATCTTTGTTCAAAAAACTAGCGGAAAATGAGTTAAATCTTCCAGAAGATGAACTGCTACACGATAATGAGAAACCATTGCCTTATGTTTTTCTGGGGGATGATGCGTTTTATTTAAGTTCTTATATGATGAAGCCATATGCTGGAGTGCATGACAAAGGTAGTGAAAAAAGAGTATTCAATTATCGGCTTTCTCGAGCACGTAGGGTGGTTGAGAATGTTTTTGGCATACTTGCATCGATTTTCCGGATATTTAGAAAGCCCATGTTGCTGGATCCTGCTCGAGTAACAGAAATAACAATAGCAAGCGTATTGCTACACAACTTTTTACGTAGGAGTCGAGCTTCAAGATCAAGATATATGCCACCAGAATCAGTGGATTCTGAAATCAATGGAAACGTTATTCCAGGAACATGGAGAAATACAAATGAAAATATGACTTCATTTTTACCACTGAGGCAAGTTGCTAGAAAGCCAGGGCAAGAGGCAATGGAAATAAGAAACTCTTATGCTCAATATTTTACAACAAATGGGGCAATACCGTGGCAAAATGATTATTAAATATTTATAATTAATATTACTCTAACTGCGTAACTTTCAAATATAAATATTTGTAAGTAGATAATAATATTTTTCCCGAAAATTGACTACTTTTGAATTAGCATAGTAGTAAAGTAAAGACAGAAATTAAATAAACCAACTTACCTCCGAATCTGTTGCTTTATTCGGCATATAAACACCGTACAAAAACCGGTACATGAATTCAAAGGCAAACCAATCAGGTTTAAATACATTCTGGGATCCAGACCCAGTTTTTGTTGTGTCTTTGACTTTTTGTAAAAGCTTTCGAAAAGAAGCTATCCCTTTTTTTTTAATTCCGTCACCGTAAACTTGTTGGACATTTGTTCTTCAATTCGTTTCCACGCATCATGGACCAGGTTCCTATTTTTGTGGTATGCGTTCCTTGGGTTCCATATCGCCGGTTCACCTTCGTAGAAAGATAAAAACTCGAGCACTAACTCGTTGGACCACTCCATAATTATTTTTTCCGTCATCCTGTCAACCGTTCGCAGCAAAAGTCAAGACGCTACTGACCTGAACCGAACCTCCGTACTCGTTTCAAGCGATCGTTGGATCGGGTTGAACACGACACGAGCCGAGCTCGAAGAGGCTCGCCTTCCTTTGAGTATCGTAAAGTTTACCGACAAAAAGCGGGTACGTCCAAGCCGCGCCAAAAAATGACGAGCTGCCCCATAGCTGCCCGGTCCCACGACTCGTGTATCAGCGATTCTTGCTCGTGGCTTGCCGATACACGCGCCGTGGGATGCCGCCTTAACGCGCACCTGTCTCTCTGCATCCTTGCATGGAGTGGCGCGCGAAACGCTTATATCTGTCTCGCTTTAAATTAAATATTAACATTTAAAATCTAACACTTTTGACAAATCAACATAATACTCTTTCATTTCATAAAAAAAATGTTTAAAAAACTGATGAGAGTATATTAATAAAGCCTGTTTTCCTGTTTGTACCTGGCAACTTCATAGTTGTACTAAAGGGAATGTAGGCAACCTATATTTTTCCAATTCCTCGTGTAATATTCTCTCGACTAATGCTTGATTTTTATCAATAACAAACTGGGGAAGTTGATCAAAAAAGTAAATCAAAGTAAGCATAATTTAACAGTATTGACCCGTGATTTAGCTAGGCAACCCATTTGCGATTTATCAGTGTACATATTATCTAACATATAATCTTTGTCATCATCAAATTATAGATGAGTGTATATATTTCTTATACCGTATCTTAGACTATCAGTAAAAGTTGCATATTTTATGTTAACAAAGATTGTGAAGATCTCTTAGACAAGGTGTAGGGAAGATTTCTGATGAAAATGAGGACCAATCTTTGTTAATAATGTTGGGCAGTGTGGATATTTTTTACGATTATTATAAATATTAAAAAGAAAATTGTGTTTTCTGGATGATTTTAGAATTTCCAAGAAAATAATGTAAATATAAATATTTTTTTATTAAAACACGGTTCATTAATGTGATAAGCAGAGGTAGATTGCCCTACGATATTTTTTTTTTCAATCGAACTATTAAAAAAATCCCATATGGATCCAACTTCATCGCACACACTGTATATCAATGTAATAAAAATTAAAAATACTTTTTTATACCAACCCTGTTGCACAGATTAATAACGTTTGAAAGAAAATTTGCATTGCTGGTTCCGTAAAAAATGTAGTTGACCATTTCCAAGTTAGCTTCTTGTTCTGTTTCGAAATATGGTATACCATTGTTGGTTTTTCTGTACAAATAAATAATCCGACAGCTCTCGCCCTCAAACATTTGCGTACCAATTCTAACAAAACCTCCATGCAAAGTATAATCAGTTGTCAGTCTTTGAACCATTTGCTAAAAACAATAAATTAGTAACTAACTTAAATGGAAAAGTGGTAGAAATACCTCTCACAAAAGAGTATCGCTTTTTTACTTACAGTTTGCATGTTTCGCATTTCAGTTGCGCTTTGTTGTTGCTTAGCAGCGTAAACTTTTTTATTAAAGTGCGTTTACACGAATACAGGAAGTCACTTTGAAAAAATTAAGAATACGTTTTACATTTTGTCTACAAATACTAGAAGAATTTACTTTCGTCTTTATAAATAAATTTCCCAGCTAAACATTGTTTTTTAGCATTTTTAGAGTTTTTAAAGATAATCCAAAACAGGTGCAAATTCGTGAAACAGATTGTTTAAAAAAATATATTATAACAAGAGGCATAGAAAATATTTATTGGATAACTCATATTTATTTTTTAATCAATATAATTTTCTTTAGAACTGGACTATTTTTTTTTTCTTTGATATTAATAATTCAAGTTTTTTCTTTGATATTAATTCAAGTTATACTTTTTGAGCGTGGTGACCGATAAGAAAACAATTTTTTTCTTTTATTGAATAAATGAGAAGTTAATATTGTTTAAAATATTTTTATTGTCTTACAATACATGTAGGTTATTCAGGAATTTTTATCATTGAAACTATAGGTTTATGGTAACTATAAGTTTGAGACTTGATATCCTCTAAATATCTCGAAAATACCGCGTCAATGGTGGTCCCATATTTTGTTGTGAATTCTTGTGGATCATTATTCATTTTCAAATTCAATTTTTCCGTGTCTAAAAGAGATAGAATCAGTTATGAGCAGTTAGCAGCTAGTCTACACGCATACGTCTAGTCGCACGCACACAAATACCGTGCCGAAGTCTGCCAAACTGAAACGACGTTGACGATGCACGGCTTTCAACGCCACACCGCTGTGCCAGTCGGAGTGGGGGGTGTTAAGTTTATTTTCGTTACAGAATTTCTTTTTCGATTTTTCGATCTTACGATTTTTCGATTTTTAGATTTTTCGATTTTTCGATTTTTCGATTTTTCGATTTTTCGATTTTTCGATTTTTCGATTTTTCGATTTTTCGATTTTTCGATTTTTCGATTTTTCGATTTTTCGATTTTTCGATTTTTCGATTTTTCGATTTTTCGATTTTTCGATTTTTCGATTTTTCGATTTTTCGATTTTTCGATTTTTCGATTTTTCGATTTTTCGATTTTTCGATTTTTCGATTTTTCGATTTTTCGATTTTTCGATTTTTTGATTTTTCAAGGGGTTAGGTTTATTTTCGTTACGGAATTTCTTGATTCGGTCGCCGCGCTCAAAGCCCGCGATAAAATCTGTGCAATAGCTTAATAATGAAATAGTTAACACTGATAAATAAAAATTAATATTTTTTCTACACCCGTATTTTAATAATACACTTATGTGCCCATAATCCGTTTCATAATGATACCCATTATGATTCAGATTTTTTCATTACGATACAGATTTTTAATCAATAGAAACCTACAATTTTTCAATCAAGCATGCTGTTTGACGTTTGTCCTAGGTTCCTATGTAATTGTTTTAGTTGTCAAAACGTATTAAATTTTCGTAGATAGCTAAACTTCGATAATTATAATATTAAAATGTCTGATATCAGCGATATAGAAGACTCCTCCACACATATCGGAGAAAGCAAAAATACAGTACAAAATATTTTGCCGCAAAAATCTAGGGAAATACCAATACCCGAAGTAATACCATTAATTACAATTTTGTAGAATTTTTTATAGAAATACGAGTAATTACTGTTATTGTGTTCAATACCAATATAAATATAATATTTATAGGTCTTGATTATTTATCGGGTGTAGAAAAAATAGCGTATGCAACTCTAATATAATGGTTATTAAAACACTCGCATAAACCATACGAAACTCGCCTTTGACTCGTTTCGTATCACGGTTAATGCTCGTGTATTAATAACCATCATTACATGATCGTTGCATAATATACTATTATAAATCTTGCAAAAAAAATAATATCTAATATTTACGCCAGCCGGGAACATTTGTGATACCAATTTATTAGAAGCCAGAGAAAGCTCTTCTAGTTCTTGTATTGCATAAACGTTTCAGTCCGCAGACGTATATTTAACTCCGCTTCATACTAATACGAGTAGGGTCGGTTAAAACCTTCCACGGCTTTCAAAACGTCGCACCGCTGTGCCGGTTAGAGGGGGGGGGGGGGTGTTAGGTTTAATTTCGTTACGGAATTACGGAATTTCTTGATTCGGTCGCCACGCTTAAAGCCCGCGATAAAAGCTAGGCAATAGCTTAAAAACCTTACCTCATTAAATTAATTAATGCAAGGCACATGGCATATGTGGAATTTGCCGAAACAGTTAAAACAGAACAATACATAAATAAAATCCAATACTAAAAGTAACATTTACACACAGATATCTTAAAATGATGATAAAATTAATCAAAATATTGTGGCAGTTAAAAATTATAGGTGGACGAAGAAATTCATATTTATGTTTTTTATTTAATAGTACGATTTTAACGGCTTATTGTTTTAGTCCGGTTCAATTTTGGATTTGTATATATTGAGTAGGTTACGATAGCAAATTCTTAAATTAGCAATTTCCGTTGTTAAATTTACTGTGTCGTTTAGAGATATGTGTATAATTTGACTAATTGTTCTTTTGTAATAGTTGGATTCTTTATCAACAATTTTAACGTTATCAAAGTCAAATTTGTGCGATTGATTAAAATGATGTAAAGCTTATGCGGTCTTTTCTGCCTTATTTTAATTTTTTTCCCGACAGTCATATTTGTGTTGGTATATTGTTTTTAAGATATTGTTTTGTAATGCCAATGTAACATTTTTCACAGCCTTCACAGTTAATTTTGTACACTACATTGGATTTTAATTGATCGGGCGTTTCATCTTTTAAATTTGAAAATAAGGATCTACACTGGTTAATAGAGTGTTTTCACAACCCTTTGTAATTTCAAAATATCTTTTAATTTTTTCTTTTTATGTTTATATTGATTTGTTAATTCTCTCATGTTAACAATGATTGTTTTATTGAAATAACAATAACCATTTACGTTGTATATTTACCTATATACCATTTATAATATTGACACCTATGTAAATCTCATAATTTTTACAATTTTTTATTAAAACCTATTATGTATTTTCAGCCTTGAAAAAGACGACAAATAAACGTCGAAACGTCGGCAAATTAAGAAGTTAATGTTTATTTTTGGAACGTCCTCTTCCCACTAACCTCACACTCACAAATACATTTAAAGGACGAAAACTGTTACTGAATTTTAAGAACTGTTTGATATTTTGTAATGAAAATGGATACATAGTTTTCTTATCGTAAGAGCATCTAAGTAAGTTATGTTCAATAGAGGGTATGTTTGACCCCAGAATATGTGGTTGTATTTGTGACCTACCTTTTTGCTACACCCTGAGTAACTTGCCTCAACTTACTATTAAAGAATTGACTTTTGTTTTACTTTGGCTTACTTTTTTAGATAATATTTGTACATACTCTGTATCAGAATTTGTTGGTTTACTATGTCTATAGTAGACTCAGTCCCTTTATTTCTTCCAATGAATTTGGGGGTAAAAATTGTTTTCCAACACTGCCAACAGCAACACTACAGCTCGCTCCAGGCTTGCCAAAATTTTAAAATATTTCTGGATGTAAACAAAGTGTGATCCGAATTCAGCTCGGAGGCCGTACCCTAAACCAAAATGTTTAAAATAATATTTATATTTAAAATAAAAAGTAATTCATTTGAAATTTGATGGAAATCATTACATGATTTTTCCTTGTTGTTTTGTAGTTCGTCTTTCAAAAAATTAAATTACCGATATAATAAAAATATTAATACAATATTAGATTTTTAAAAAACTAATGTACGACCCCAAGTTGAATATATTGTGTCAACTCACTTTTTCATTCCGTGACGTCACTGCGTCCTTAACAACCGTGATGAGGCCACCGTGTTGTCTACGAACCGTGGACTTGGGGTATATCCGAGAATTTACCTACAGTTTGTACATACACACACCTAAAATTAATAGAGAGTTGAAGTGTTTCCAGTACGTTAACGTAAACGTGAACGTCAACGCAGAAAAATATTGTTTTCGTTGAGGTCCAAAATATGAGTTGAAGTTGTTAAACGCATCGTGACATTTACGTGCCATGACAAATCATGACAATTAATATTAGGATTTCTTCTTTCCCAATTAAAAAGAGGTTATTTTGTTTGGGTTACGTACATACGCCAGAGCTCGTAAGCTTACGTATTTACGTACACGTGAACGTGAAGGATATTTGAATACGCATGCGCAGATGTCAGTTTTCACGTACACGTTTACGTTCATAGCATGACTTCAACTCTCTAATATCTCAGACGACAGTGTTAGAGTACCTACGAAATTTCACCCTTTAAATGTCATAATTTTTCGGTTACATTGTGACATTCATTCAGATTATTATATATCTAATTCAGGCAACGAAAAGATATACGAACTTGAGCATTTGCGCTGGTTCTTCAGATTTGGCGTTTACAATACCTATATAGCATTGTTTAAAAATATATTTAAATATTTACAGAGCCAGAACATGGGCAATGAAAGCCAATCGAGAGGACTTATTTGAAAAACTAATCGAATTATATAAAAGTTACTCGATATGTGAAGACCACTTTGAAGAGAAGATGTTCACGAGTCACTTTCGTGCAAGATTAGTAGCCATTGCAATTCCTACCCTATTCCCGTCCCTCGAGGGGAGTTCCACAACTGAAGAACATACGTATAGTGCACCGCTCTTGCAACTTCCTGCGAAAATACGAGTTCTAGATGACAGACTGATAGCTCCACCTATCACACCTGCACTATTTGATTCAGGTACTAAAAATAATAGTGTTTTACTTAAAATTAAATATAATGTTTTATATACAGGGTGAAGCGAGGGGTGAACCTAATTTGTTCCACTTTTAAAAGAC